TTATTATTATTACACAGTAATTTTATATTTATTATTATTACACAGTAATTTTATATTTATTATTATTACACAGTAATTTTATAATTATTATTATTACACAGTTTTTTATAATTATTTTTATTATTACACAGTTTTTTATAATTATTTTATTATTACACAGTTTTTATAATTATTATTATTATTACACAGTTTTTTATAATTATTTTTATTATTACACAGTTTTTTATAATTATTATTATTACACAGTTTTTTATAATTATCATTATTACACAGTTTTTTATAATTATCATTATTACACAGTTTTTTATAATTATCATTACATAGTTTTTTTATAATTATTATTATTACACAGTTTTTTTATAATTATCATTACACAGTTTTTTCTATAATTATTATTACACAGTTTTTTTATAATTATCATTACACAGTTTTTTCTATAATTATTATTACACAGTTTTTTTACTTACTAACAAGAGCTACAAATAACAACTATGTAAACTTACAAAAGCTTCTCAAAAGAGTAATTTTAAACATGGGAACAAATAAACATTTGATATTTTCAAATGTTATTAACACAAATATTACCTTTCACCCCTAGCTCTTCACAGTAGCTTTTCATTTCATCGTGATTGTTCAAAACAATAGCCTTCCATAGTTTACACAAGGAAATACGATTTTCTTCTGGCAAGTATTCATATAATCCGTGATCTAACAGTACAATCTGAGCCTTCCCATCTTTCCCTTTCCTGATAAATACTGAAAAACAAATCTCTGTAAACTGTACAGTACTTCAAAGGATATGTTTTTGAATAAATCTAAAGTTAACTGTGCAATACCTGGATATCATTGCTTTATCACTCAAAGTTTCATCTATATATATACATATCATCTTCAGAAGCTGTATTCATCTTAAGATATCAAAACTTCAACACACACACAAAACATGTAGGGGGCGTAGTTACTTAATTATACTGTAGCTATGACAATTGTGCATATGCTTCATTAAACTGTCTTCATATATAATCTTGCTTTTACAGTCTCTTCCAATGGTTATATAATATAACTATATACAATAAACTAACAGAGAGAGCATAGTAATTGGGAAAAACCAAAATGAAAATAGCAACTTTAAAAATCTCACCATTTCCTGGATGAGGATCTGCATGTACAAATCCAGTCGAAAAAATCTGTTCAGCAAATGCAAGAACAAGCTTTTCATCTACCTGTAATGTGAAAACAAGTATAATTTTTATGGGTTTTTCTTAAATGAACCTAAATACCTACACTGAAGGAAAAAATACAAAAAGTTACTTCTATTTTCACTGTTATTATTCCCTTTCAACTGTAAACAGTTAGTAATTCCTTGAAGTATGATAGCATGTTTTTGTTAGCACTGGTAAGAATGTGTTGGTTTCTATAAGAAATGTTATTTTCCTAATGAAGTTTTCACATAACAGTGAGCTTAAGGCATAGTTTATCGTCACTATTGTTGTACTGTAATGAATAATTCCCAGATTAATAATTTGATTATGTACTACACATCATGTTTTCTATAAAGTAGTACTTAGTAGGTCCAATAGATAAATGACATAACTGAATCCTGTGAATACAAGTGATACTTAACAAACTGATAAAATATGAAAATAATATTCTTCATAAATAAACATAACTACAATTTACCAAAACAAATTACATTTATAGCAAATATGAGCTGCTTAGGGACTGATGATATTATTGAGATGAAAGGAAATTATTCTTGGAGTCAAGGTGAAATTTTGAAGTCCAATTCAAGTGAAGAAGATGACAAAAGATGATGTTGACTGATGAAAATGAGTTATCAGACCAAGGCAGCAAGAAATATTTCAGTTTTTAAGATCTAATAACAAGGGGTCACAGCTGATGCAAGGCAATCTAGAGCACTAGACAATACAAACTATCAACTGAAGTGTACTGGTCTTCAGGTCCTAGGTACATCACACTTCTCAAGTTTCTGCATGTGGATGATAACATCAATGATGTTGATGTCAACAAATTGTAAGAGTAAGACTACTAGTGGATCATCTCTTCTAGAACTTGCAAGAAGTATGCACACCATCCCAAAATATTTCCATTCATGAGTCACCCGTGATATGGAAAGTTTTACTTCTTTTCAAACAATATATCTCACTAAAGCATGCTAGATACGGGTTGAAGTTCATGTTATGTGTAAACAATAAGTATGTATATGGGTTTCACATATACACTGATAAAAAAATCATGAACCATCCATTGATAATGTTTTATTTATTAGAGACAGTAGCTGTCGGCATCATTTCTCTGCCTCTGAACAAATACACTGATAAATAATAAACAAGAGAGCTTTTTTTCATGCACTTTCATGAACATGATACCCTAAAGTGTGGAACCATTCATACAAACAGAAATGTTTTTCAAGTAAAGCTGAAAGCAAAATGCTGGAGATGTCACATCCTTCTGTTGACATGAGCTGTTTGCCTTGATATTTAGGGAAAGAAAACAGATCTATGTGTTAACTACAATCTATGATTAAAATATAAGAACAGTCACCGGAACAATTAAGTGAAGAAGCTAGTGGTAATTGTTGACTTCAACCATTACAAGGGTGGTGTTGGTTGTACTGATAAGCTTTTACATCCTTCAAGAAAGAGCATGCAGTGGTGCAAGATTTTAGTGTTTCACCAGATTCAGTTAGCAATGCTAAACAATATCATTAGATAGCAGAAAGCTGGAGGAAACAAGAATTTCCTGAAATTTCAACATGACGTTGAATTGTTATTTGAAGAAATGGATGCATGTAGAAAATTCGACAAAACTGATAGAATGAAACATTTTATGGTACTACTACCTCCAGAAGAATGTAAACTAAAGCCACAGAAGAAATGGATGCATGCAGAAAATTCGACAAAACTGATAGAATGAAACATTTTATGGCACTACTACCTCCAGAAGAATGTAAACTAAAGCCACAGAAGAAATGGATGCATGCAGAAAATTCGACAAAACTGATAGAATGAAACATTTTATGGTACTACTACCTCCAGAAGAATGTAAACTAAAGCCACAGAAGAAATGTGTCTACTTCAAGAAGGAAAACATAAAAAGAGTACATGTTACTGCTCAACGTGTTCATCCAAGCCAGGACTTTGTTATTATTCCAATTTGAAAATTTACCACTGTGAGTTCAGATATTGGCAATAAGTCTAAATTTGTTCAATAAAAATAATATTTAAGCAACATATACATAGAAAAGCTATGTCTCTTTGTGAAATATGACATTAAACCAAATGTAGTAGTTACCTGTAAAAACTGAGCCCAAATATTTGTTGACAAATGCACCAGTAGTCAAAGGGTTAAAGTCTTTCTCAGGATATTATTTATATAAATATTTTTGTCCAATTATGTGTCAACAATTCTACACTGTGTTATTCCTGGTAAGTTAAGAGCTTCTAGAGAACTATAGCAATACATGCTCAAACCAAATTACCACAGATAAGTTCTGAACCTTTCACCAGAATATACATATTCTTGGCTTATAGAGGGCACTAGCAATACCTTAACTCCTTAAACCCAAGATAATGCTCCAGTACCTGGTTGAAAATCCCAATTTACCCATCAGATGGCAACATCAAATGTTCAACAAGGGAAATTTGAGGCTACTTACCCAACAATGCTTCAAGTGGGTACCCCCTGATGCTGAAGGAAAAACAAAATTAAGAAAACTAAAATGTTATAAGGTATGGTAATAAAGATTAGGAAATCATGAAAATAATTTCGGTAGAACGTGCAAAAGATTACAGATTTAAAGAGTTAATATAAAAACAGTCAATACATGCATGACTATCCAACTATTACATAAAACTCAATCAAGAACTGAGCATGAAAAGCTTAGCAAAGCCTCTGAATAAAATAAAAGCACTTAAAGACAACATAAGCAAATAACTTAACCAATACTTACATCTTTCAAACTTAAACCCATTTTGTGAATACCTTGAATGTCACTAACTTTAACACCATCGATGAATTCTGCAGTGATGACCCTCTGAAACAAGGAGATTGAATGAATATAATATTTTTATTTTAAAGTTTTCAGTGCTGATTGAAAGATGAAAACCTTTCTCAATGAAGACAACAAACAACTTCAGATAAATGTTTGTTTTATTATACAGGACATTTCAGTTTATGCCATTTTTAAGGGTGACGTTCAAAGACAAAACATCAGGCAAGATAAAAGTTTTGTAGTCTTCAGAGAAATTTGTTTGTTTGTAATTAAGCACAAAGTTACACAATTGGCCATCTGTACTCTGCCCACCACGGGTATCAAAACCCAGTTTCTAGCATTGTAAGCCCACAGTCTGTGCCACTGGGGGCTTGTTTAATTCAAAGTAAACATAAAGCTACACAATGGGCTATCTGTGCTCTGCCCACCACGGGTATCAAAACCCAGTTTCTAGCATTGTAAGTCCACAGTCTGTGCCACTGGGGGCTTGTTTAATTGGAAGTAAACACAAAGCTACACAATGGGCTATCTGTGCTCTGCCCACCACGGGTATCAAAACCCAGTTTCTAGTGTTGTAAGACTGCAGACGTACCACTGTGCTACTGGGGAACTCTTCAGAGAAATACATATATAACATATGCAAAAAAAAGTTCATTGTTTTATAGACCTACAAGCAGTTTAAACATAAAACATTTAAACCATTTAAAAAACAGAAAATCAAACACAAACCTCCTTGAAAAACAAAATTTTACTACATCGTCAATTAGTATTTATTCAGTATTTTAAATTACTGGTTTCTCGTATCTTGTAATCTTTGTTTTAACCTATGTTAAAAATTTGTTACATGTAAAAAAAGCATAAAAATTATTTTACTTACTTTGTATCATTTCTTTGTTTAAACCATAAACTTAAACAATTTAAAGTTTCCACTATAAAAACACACATGGAAACCTACATTATTTAATAATTTTCTTCCACGTGTCACAACTGTTATATTTCTTAATGTATATCAAAATAATGCACACTCGATCAGATCATTTAACCACATGAATTTTAATCAATTTTTATTGTTGAAAATTTACAAAAAAAACATTGCCTTTATATTATTAGGAAACTAGAGTAAATTCCTAATAAATCTTATTTTAATTGGTGTTTTTACAATTCAACAAAACCTGTAAATGTACC